GAAGATCCATTATCAGCTATTGTATTTTTTAGGGTTCTTCATTAATTACTTAGAAATCGAAAGAGACAAAAGACTGTTTCATTGTCTTCAGCATAAGCCGAATAAAGGGCTACGGAGAATACTTGTCAGGAGTTGTCATGGCTTAGATATCTTCTCAAGGATTTACGAATGGCATAGCCTGAAACCAGTTTTGTTATATTGTGATAATAAAGCAGCTTTGCACATTATGGCTAATCCTGTTTTTCCTGAAGACTTGACATATAGAGATAGACTGCCACTTTATGTGGGAAAAAAATTCAAGAATGATCTGTTACTACAAGACATGTCAGTTTTTCTTTTCAGTTGACCAACATTCTTACTCATGACATGATCATACGTCATAGAGACATATCACCTAGCCTACGAAAACAAGCCTCCAGTTATCAATTCTACCCAGCCAAGAACAGCTGACCTCCGAAAACATAGTAAAGTTAGAAAACAGATTCTCTTTCCAGCTACAAAAAATGGTGGACAAGTAATCAGACTAGCTTGCAGGTCAAAAATACTTCATCATGAAAGTGGCAAATATACCCTCTTTTAAAGAACTTGGGAGTAGAAAACAATCATAATTTGATTGTGAAATTGGTGATCATGCAGTAATGCCACTGACCATTGTCCATCACAAAACCAATTGAGTCGATTCTAAGCCAACTAAAGAGCAATCCAGTTGAAGCACATAACAAAATTTTCATGCATACGTCATGGACATGGGAATCAAAACAAGGAGGTTCAGAGTCAAACTTTACATTATCATTCTCAATTCAGGTACTGTAAGTGAGAGATCTTAGGTTCGATTCTCACTAAAGACGAATTTGAACCACATTATTATGGCTAGCCCAGTGTGAAGCTTAGTTCACTCTTATACCTTTTTAGTGTAGATAATATTTCTTTTGTTAAAAAAAAAAAAGTCGAAAAGTATATAATTAATCTTATATTTTGCGTTTGTATCTCTTTCTTCTTTAATTTTCATCTATCTTTGTTTTTTTTTTTTTTTTGTTCTATTATATAGTTGTGCACACAAACAAATAAGGTCAAATTTAGTCTTTTCACTTTAGCCATTTCAGTTTTCATTGTGCTAATTTTGACTATAAGTAATGCTACGGAGACCAAATCACTCTTTGACTATAAGTTTATTGTCTGTTTACATCATTGTTCTAAACATCTTCGCCTAGGTGCTAGGCGATTGACCACTGTCCCGATTAATGCCTAGACGTTTGAAAATTAAGAAAGGAAGCCTAGACCTACTGAGGCGCCTGCCTAGACCGCCCAGATCCGTTTAGACACCTGCCTAGGTTGTGACTCACATAGACAGAAAATAAATAACTTTCATTTTGCATTTTATTTTTTCAATAAATTGTAAGAGACTTGTTGAATACTTAAAGGAACACACATTATATACTTGTTCCCGTTGTTTTCATTATGGTCCAATAGCTCATAATATATATGTCATTCCATTTGTAGTTTATGATGAAATCATATATATTTTAAGTATAAACAGATACTTATTTACACGAAATATAATAGATTTAATTAAATCCGCCTAGTCCACCTAGGTGCCCGCCTGGACCTTGCCTAGCCGCCTAGGCGCTAGGTCTCAGCCTACCCCCCGACTAGTGCCTAGCGTCTTTTAGAGCATTAGTTTACGTACAATCATTTGTTCATTTGATGATATACCATATGGGGATTCTATATGCGATAATGTACAGCCATGCTTGTAAATTTTAGATCAAAATTGTGCAATTGATTGTCGTCAAGGATACAAAGCATCGACTTATGAAAAGCTGAATCTCCATGATGAGTTGTTTGTTCATGTAAAGTAAGCCTGCCTTGCACACTAACTTATAAATATGTCCTAACTAGACTTGCTATCTGCAATATAAGGAAGTATAAGATGGCCAACAGACTACAAAAACAACAACAACAAAGCCTTTTCTTAGAGTCTCTTCCAAAGTTCTTCTAGGTCTTCCTCTTACCCCTTCGGCCCTGAACCTCTGTCCCGTAATCGCATCTTTTAACATAAGCATCAGTAGGCCTTCATTTCACATGTCCAAACCACTGTAACCAATTTTCTCTCATCTTTCCTTTAATTTCGGCTACTCCTACTTTACCTCGGATATCTTCATTCCTAATCTTATCCTTTCTCGTGTGCCCATACATCCAACGAAGCATTCTCATCTCCGCTACACCCATTTTATGTACGTGTTGATGCTTCACCGCCCAACACTCTGTGCTATAAAGCATTGTCGGCCTTATTGTTGTCCTATAAAATTTTCCCTTGAGCTTCAGTGGCATACGACGATCACACAATACGCTGGATGCACTCTTCCACTTCATCCATCCAGCTTGTATTCTATGGCTAAGGTTTCCATCCAACTTTCCGTTCTTTTGCAAAATAGATCTAGGTAGTGAAAGTGGTTGCTCTTTGGAGAACATGCACTCCATATACTCTTTCTTTGACCGACTTAGGCGAAGACCTTTAAATTCCAACACTTCTTTCCAAAGGTTAAGCTTCGCATTTACTCCTTCCTAAGTTTCATCTATCAACACTGTATTGTTTGCGAAAAGCATACATCAAGGAATATCATCTTGAATATGTCCCGTTAACTCATCCATTACCAATGTAAAAAGGTAAGGACTTAAAGATGAGCCTTGATGTAACCCTACAGTTATGGGGAAGCTTTTGGTTTATCTTTCATGAGTTTTTACGGCAGTACTTGCTCCATCATACATATCCTTTATAGCTTGGATATATGCTACTCGTACTCCTTTCTTCTCTAAAATCCTCCAAAGAATGTCTCTTGGGACCCTATCATACGCTTTTTCTAAATCTATAAAGACCATGTGCAAATCCTTTTTCATATCTCTATATCTTTCCATCAATCTTCGCAAGAGATAGATTGCCTCCATGGTTGAGCACCCTGGCATGAATCCGAATTGGTTGTCTGAGACATGTGTCTCTTGCCTCAATCTATGCTTAACAACTCTCTCACAGAGTTTCATTGTATGACTCATTAACTTAATACCCATAGCTCGTTTTGAATATTACTCTAAATTTGGACTGGTGTAAATTAAAGTGTATGTGCCATTAGATAGCCTATTTCGTTTTAGGGACCATTTTTGCTCACTATCATAATTATGATGTATGCTCACCATACATTTAATCAATTGACACGTGTTATTTTACCTAATTCTAGTTAACTTTCATATTAAATGTTACTTTTTCAATTTTGAAAAAAAAATTAACCAAGGTTAAGTAAAAAGATACGTGTCAATTAATTAAGTGTATGATGAGCATACATCATAGTTTATAGTGGTAAGAAAAAATGTTCCCTTTGTTTTTAGGTTTTTAATTTTTAGTTTTCATATTTTTGAAATAGATAGTAGTTAATGATGAAAAGTGAAACCTTAAATCTGAAATATTTGCCAATACATTTGATAAATACTCGCCTATAACCGCCTCTTCCCTCGTATATGCAAAAACAGAAGAGGTGCTTTAACATTTCGCCAACCCCAAAATTGTGCCGCAAGAAATCTCTTCTTCTCTTCACTTACCTTCTTCTTCGTCGATCACTCCTGCAACTTCTCTCATATAATGCAACAAACTTCATCAACATAACAACATGGACAGATTCTCACAGTTACCCGAACCTCTCCTTCCGATCATCATCTCCCACTTGCCCTTCAAAGAAGCCGCAAGAAACTCCATTCTCTCCGAGACATGGCTTCGCCTCTGGCGTTCGACCCAAAACGTCGAGTTCAACGAGCGTTTCTTTGTGAACACTGATGCAGCAGCGGTGGACAGAGCGATTCAGAGGCGAACTTTCATCGATTTTGTGCTGCACTGGATGGAAAACAACCAAGAAAATCAAGTGGGTAAGATTGCGGTCACAATTTCGGAGCCTGAAAATTCAGAAGAATTCGTGCAGCATTGCATCAGATTTTCTCTGGAGCACTATGTCAAACACTTGGCGCTCGATTTTTCTGACCCCAGGTGGGACGACGCTGGGTATGGAACCCAGGCCTATTTTGATTTGCCTTTGGATGTGTATACTCAGCGAGAACTTGAGTCCCTGGCTCTGTTTTCTTGCAATTTTAATGCGTCTTGTTTGTGAATTTTGGTCTGCTGAAGCACATTTCATTGGGTTGGATTAAGCTGCCGGTTTTAGTTCAAGAAACTTTGTTAGCACAATGTAGGTTTCTTGAGAGCCTGAGTCTGAAGAAATGTCGGAGCATGAACTACCTCGATATTCGTGGGAAGAACTTCACGTTAAAGCTCAAAACTTTGGTGGTTGATAGGTGCAGGATTCGTTACCCTCATTTCTTTTACCTTGAAGCACCAAAGTTGAGGTATTTGAAATTTGTTGGTGGGGCTGTGCCGGAATTGACTGCAGACGAGGGTAGCGAATTCAATTTCTTCGAAGAGTTGGATCTCGACTTGAGCCTAGTGAAAGAATTTCATAGCTCTGCTAGTCCCAATTCTATACTGGCTACGCTTCATCCCGCAAGGGCGTTGACAGTTTGCTCTTACACACTTCGGGTACTCATTTCTCTCTTCAAATTCTCATTTTTTGCACGAATAATGTCATTGGATTAGAAATGGTTGTACTTGAGAGGCACTGACAAAACTTACGCATTCATAAGATTATAGGTGACAAATGAGGCGATCCCCGACATAAGAAGGGCTCTAGAATATCTCTATTCCTTGCTTAAACCGTGACTCAGAACATCTCCTAAAAGCCCCAAATTTAAATTTCGTAAAACAGGACTAAGAATTTAGCTCCAACCGGCACTCAAACTCTACCAAAATCAGCTGGTAAGCTACTTGTGCAAATCAGAGTGATTGCGGAAAACAACTGTGCAAATCAACTCTCACGTTAGTTGATAAGCTACACCTCTTCTTAATCTTTTGTTGATAAGCTAGACCTCTTCTTAATCTTTTTATCTGTGTTATTTGTTTGCAGGTTATAATCAACAATACAAAAGAGGAACCAATTATTCCGAGTCCTCGTTTGACAGTGGGACATTTAACATTGAAAACGACAATGCATGAAAATGAACAATTCGGCATCAAGTTTTTCTTGAATTGTTGTCCTAATTTGGAGACTCTTTACAATTGAACGGTGACCTGAGGAAATTCTTGAGGTACTCATAATTATTAACTATGCCGTAGCATATTTATAGCATATGATATCTAATTAATTTATGTTTAATACTATTTTTGTTATCTCTTGGTCAGTATTACGCAACTCCTTCTGTACTGAAGCCTCAAGAGATGTGGAAGGGAAATGTAGAAGTCTACGAGTGCATAACCCGAACGCTGAGAATGGTTGAAGTAAAAGGTTATATGGGGTCACAACATGAACTTGACCTGCTCAGCTATCTTCTCACACATGGCCGTTGCATGGAACAGCTTACTGTCATTACATCAAGTGATGAGGAAGTTAATGGTGGAAACCCAGAAGAATTCAGACTCAAAGCTCAAGAGTTCTTGCATCAAGTCGAAGCAGCCTCACAAAATCCAAATCTGGAAATAACAGTTCTGTAAGTAAGTAACCGATTAAGTCTGCTGCATGTGCTTGCTTCCAGCGATACAATTGGTTTTTGTGTGCATACAGTTGAAGATGGAATGTTCATTTTGAGTCGGGTCTAGCTTAAAGAGTTTACGCTTCCGGTGATATAATGTTAGTTTCATGTGCAGTTGAAATTGGAATCATGGAAGTTGTCTAATTCAAAGACAACTATAAGTCTGTAACAACTAACAAATCAATACATGTGCAGTTGCTCTTTTGATTCAGTTCGTGTGAATAGTTTTCTTCTCATATCTTTGTTTGTATAATCGTATATTAGATCAAGTACTCGTTTGAGTCCTAGATAAAAGGAGGAAACAAATAATTGCTAGAGTCGTCCAACATCCATGTCTAAGTTCGAAGTTTGATTTCATATGTTGAAGCAAACATGGTTCTGTCAACAACTTAATCACCAAGTGGGGATTCAGAAGAACGGGTAGCAAACATTGTTCTAGAATATCCTCTTATTAAAGAAAAACTTTGCTTGAAGAAACTTTGTTCACGTTGATATTGTGGGTTGCACTTGAGAAGAACGGGTAGCCTTCATAGCCTTTACCTAAACCTTGGCCTCCTAAAAATATATAAATTATGATCCATTAAGCAAAATTAAGTCAAGTGGGGATTCAGAATTAAGTCAACATATTGGCATTGTGATGTTTTTTCTTTGGTGAAATAGAGGTTTTTTTTATGAGTAAGTTCACCCCCACTAAGACAATTACTAATCAGACAATTGGGTAAAGGCAAATTATTGCCTTAATGAATAGTTGGTGGCCGAGTGCATCTTCACTCCGTAAATGAATTGCCTAGATAATTGGCATAAAAAATTATTAATTATTAAAAATAGTAAACCCATTATTATTTTATAACTAATTTTAAATATAATTTTTAACTAATTCTGTCACGTCACTTGTCGTTATCAGAAATTACAATTTTTGTAGATAGAATTTCGATTAAACTTTTAACCAATCCCATAAGGTCACATGTCATGATTCTGAAAGATTTTTGTGGATAGATTTTCAATAAAAAATTTAAGGGCTAATCTCAGTTTACTACTCTGAAGTTTTTTAGTTTTCAACATTTGGTACATCAAGTTTTTTTTTTTTTTTTTTTATCCCTAAGTGGTACCTAGTCATAATTTTGAGACACTTTCATACATCTGTTAAGATTGGTGTTAAATCAGTAACTGACTACTAGCGTGGTGCCTACATGAACAATGATTGGGCACCATGTGTCAATATGGGGCTTATGTGGATATTAAAAAATTCAAAAAAAAAAAAAAGGCTGCTGCTATCGTCTTCATCCGATCATTTGACCTTTGACATTGTATCAGCTCTGTTCGAGTTCTTATTTTGCGGCTCGGGCTAATCCCTCCAGTCCAGGTTCTCACTATACATACTTCGTCGGAAGTCTGAGCTTTATGGCGCGATGAACTGGTCGTCGACGAAGCCAGTGAGCTCTCAAGTTTTTGGAGGGTTTGGGGAATTAGGGTTTTAGGGGATTGATTTGGGTGGGGAAATACACTACAGAGGGAAGAAGGGATAGAGGGTTAGGGGGTCAGGAGTGACATGTGACATCCAGTCATTGTCCACGTGGGTAGGTCTGGGTAAACGAGTCTTAGACCCACAGGTAGTGGCAGGTACTAACGATTCAAGGCAAGTTCGGGGCGGGTCCATATTTTTCTAAACTCAAAACGGAGCAGGGTAAGGGTGGTTCCTAGTAAACAGCGAGTGGGCAGGGTCTGATTTTCTAAAGACACGAGCCCTCAGCCCAAATCGTATCCACCATCCAATACTGGAGATTAAATCTATACCGTTCAAAGTTCAAACATCTCACACTCACAAGGGTCTCAGAGTCTGTAGTTCACTTTCAAACTTTCTCGAAGACTCTCCCAGACTCAAATGAATCTCCTCTCTTCAGTCCTCCCTCTCGCATCTCGATCATTGATTCGATTTTCACTTTCCTTCATCTCAATCTCTCTATCCCAGAGTCCAGAATGACTCTCATCCTTCTCGAATCTCAATAGATGAGCTCTTTCCCTTAGCCTCTCTAAAGTCGACTCTGAGTCTCTGACCACCACCATCCGCTCATCTCAACTTCGACCACTACCTCACGGTCCTTGCCAGTCTAGCTCGAAACCAAATCTTCAAAAAAATGGTATTCAATTTAGCCTTGAGGGATTGAAAGAATTTGGGTTTTTCTAGATTAGGGATTTTTAATTATTTTGGTTAATTAATATTGTAATCTGGGTATGTGGCCTGGGTTTTTGCATTTGCAGGCTCAATAAACTGGGGAGTTTTAATGACCAATAACTATAATATGCACTCGATTAGGAACAAACGGGTAGATAGATTACAACAATCTTTTGTAAGTTTTCAAAGGGTTTGTAAGCACTCGATTAGGAATGATGGGTAGGTAGACTACCAAATGATTAGGTTACTGAATCTCTTTCCATTTTGTGCAACTCTAGAGAAATCAATTTGTTGCATTTCCAAAGCCAGGATATTGTTGCAATCCAACCCTTTGAGTTTACCAATGTAGTTAAGCAATTTATTGTTTTGCCTGCTTGAAAAGTCTAGTCTTTATTATTAGCTGACTTATTTGATTCTCTTTGTATGTTAGGTGAGGTAGTTTGCTTGAGATAGAACGAGAAAATCAAATTATTGCTATTATGCTCGGCAAGGTTTTACAAAGGAGGAATGTTATTCCCTGATTCCTGAATAAATGAAACCAAAGCAATAATCTGTTGTTGAAAAAAAAAAAGAAAAATGATTGGACCGTGGACCCGACCCCAAACCGGCCCATTTCAAACATGCCAGGTTAGGTTCAGTTCCAAGAATTAGAATTACTATACTCGTCCCGGCCCGCCCCGTTTCATTTTAAAACGGGTCGTGTTCGGTTCCTCCAAATTTGGGCCTTGATCGCTTACACGTGGGTGCCACGTCAGCAATTAAAGGTTGATTTAACAACCTTAAAGGATGTATGAAACTATCCAAAAATTATGACTTTAGATATCACTCTGGGATGAAAAAAACTTGATATGCCAAATATTGAAAACCAAGAAATTTCAGGATAGTAAACTGAGATTAACCCAATTTTTAACCATTCTCGTGGGGCTCCTATCACTATATGTACATAACCCTTGTGGATAGATTTTCAATCAATCACAGGATGCTGCGTGGCATTATCTACCACCTCAACCTTTCTTTTTTCTCCATATAAATGCTAGATCCAACCTATACTCACCCACCAAAATCAAAATCACTCCGAATCTTTTTTCATAGTGTATGAATTGTTTGATCTCCAGAGTGAGAGAATGAATTGTTCGATCCCCAGAGTGAGAAAATGAGTTGTTTGAAATGGAAGATCAAGAACGTAGAAGGAGATATGATGAAGTAAAAAGGGAGAGAAAGAGAGGAGGAAGAATAAGAGTCCTACATAGTTAAACATGCACACGGGTATTTAGAACTATCATTAATTTTTTTTTGTTTTTTATAAGTAATTAAGAGTTTTTAAAATTTGGGTTTGTGGCATGTCATAGCCAACTCATTATCCACCTCATTTGGTTTAGAAAATTTGGTCTCCCTAGCATATATATGTATATACACAATGATATTTTAGTCTAAGGGTTGAAGATATTTTGACTAAACCACAATGTGCCAAGAATAACAATTAGGAATTAAAATTGTCATCTAAGTAAGTCAAAATTCAAACTTCAACTTGTTAGTGAAGAGTAATATCATTAGACCATAATGCTAGTTACATAAGCCATTTAATTAAAAATAAATCTCTCTACAATTTTCACCATTGAAAAGAAAATAAATATTCTAGAACTTTTTTAGAGTAATTCACTTTACTACTCTCAAGTTTGCAAAAATTGCACTTTACTACATTTGCTTTTCATCCCATTTCATACTTAAAGTTTGATTTTACTGCCACTTTTATACCTAGTCTTTTGTCAAGTGTAGTAAAGTGTATTTTTGCAAAACTTGAGTGTAGGAATATGGAAATTATTTGTTTGTGTCAAACGATGTTCTACACTATCATACTTCAAGACCATCTCCAACCATAACCTAAAACCTAAAAATATTTAGCCTAGAAAATTTAGGTTTTAGCTCAGAAACAACTTTTCTTCCAACTCTTATGGCCTAAAATTTTAGCCTAAGATTATCAAAGAAAGAATGAATTAAGGCTAATTTAAAAAAAAAAAATTATATAGACTATCCTAAATTAATTTTATGAACATTTTAACCTAAAAATATTTAAATTCTAATAAATTTTGAAAAATCACTAAATCAATACATGAAAATCATGATAAACCACATAAACTTAATACAAAAGATATTTAATAAACCACATAAACTTAATACAAATGACAACTAATAAACCACATAAACTTAATACAATCGAAAACTCATAAACTTCATAAACTTAATAATGATATCCACCATCTTGACTTGGTGATGGACATGGGTGATAGTCTTGAGATGAATCATCATCTTGAAATATACTCCTTGTGGCATTCCTTCGTAAAATGTCATTTTGCTTACCACGTAAGTACTTCTTCCTCTCTAGAGTGTACTTGTCGAGGTCCTCCATAATCTAATTAATTTCGAACCTTTCTTGCTCCCTATCCCCTTCTTCCTTCATGGCCAAACGCATTTGGGCCGATTCTTCTTGCCGACAGCACTGGTTTTCGTTCATTCTTGCCATTTTGCTAGCAAATCGTGGACGTATCGGATCTTGGGACTTCCCTTCTCTCTTTGCTTCCTTTTGCTTATCTCTACTCGGGGGCCTTGCAAAAAAAGAAGTTGGGGTCATTTGTTCAACACCTTCATTGTCGGTAAAATTCACACCTTCATTGACATCATTTGGGGGTAGGGCTTCACTATGAAATAATCTTCCATATTGTTGGTTCTCATTGGTTCCCCACCTCGGACAATCCTTAAGAATGTTCCAAGTATGATGCAACTTAAAATCTTGATTTTTTGGTGTAGTTCTTGTCTTGTAAATTGTCATTGCTTTGTCACCCTATGCAACAAATACATAAAAATAATTAGTTGCAAAATACTATTATGTACATGACAATTAAAATATCAACAAAGAAACTCACAATTTCTGAGTTGCTCCTTCCACTAGGCATTTCAACTATAGCTCTCTCCAAGCTTCCTTTCCACAAAGTGCATGATTTGTTGACAATCTTCCACCGATTATAAACACCACCAACTTCACTTCGACCAGCGTTGGAGTTTTCATGGAATTATCAACGATTTTACCCCACAAAACCTTTCTATTTTGATTCGTGCCAACGGCACCACCTTCGCTAACACAAATCCATGCCAAAAATAAAGCAATATCTTCGTCAAAGGTCCGATTACGACCTCTAACATGCTCTTTTGCCATCTTGAAAATTTTGGAAATGAGAAGAAATGGTAGAAAGAAAAATTGGATGAATTGTAGGAGAAAACTGAGTTTTGTGTGGATGTTTGAACAAATACATAGGTATTTATAGAGTTTTAGGTTGATTTTTAAATTAAATTTTTTTTTAAATTATTTTAGCCGTTGGATTTAAATTTGGACCGTTAGATTTTTTTTCTTTTTTTACCGTTAGATTTGATCATATTCGATCTAAACCATTGGATTCAATAAATATATAAATATGAAACTAAAAAAAAAAAATTTGAACCTGGACCGTTGGATTAACCAACGGCCCATTTAAATCGAGCCGTTGGGCTACTTGATGATCTGACACCTGGGGAAAAAATCCCACGTGGGTTTGTTGGATTTCTGAAAGGGCCTAGCACGTGCAGTGCGTAGCGAGTAGGGGATGGGCAGTGGGCTTCACAACCCCCGTTTCAGTCTTAGTTGATGGGGCCCATTTTGCTTTGGGGCCTAAAATTGGGCCGGTATTTGACCCCCATATGAGTTTTAGGTTTTAGGTTAATTTTGGGTCATGGGTTGGAGTGGATTTTGGGAGGGAAAAAAGGGAAATTTTAGGTTTTAGCCCATTGTTGGAGATGGTCTAAGGGAAGGAGAAGGGTTTAAACTCGAGATGTAGTGAGTTAAATATAATGCTTTTACCACCAGAGCAATCTACCACTTGCAGTTCTCGAACTTTTTATCACATTTATTTTGATTTTTTGACATTTATTCTAAATTTTATCACATTTATTCTGCTCAAATAATTTTCTCTCCGTGTGTGAAAGATCTTCTCTCTGAGAGTGACAGATTTTTCTCTCCGTGAGTGAGAGCGGCAACAAAGCCCAGAATTTTTTTTAGCCACCGACACTAATTCTGATTTGGTCGATGGCAACCCCTTCTTCATCATCTATGCTCCCTCTTTCTTTTCTTTTTGTTGATTTTCCCTAATTTCCTTCCTTTTTTCCCTAACCTTTCCACTCCAACTATCACTTATCTTCCTGCCCCTAGATTCATTCATCACTCATCCATCTTCATGTCCTTCATATGGCTCCCACCGATTCCATCTTCATTTCGATCTGCAATCATTTTTTACCGCAAATTGTTGATGTCCTTAACTGGGAAGGTGCATAGAGTTCCATTGTTCAAACCAGCTTAGGTAGCCACACCAACCCCTTCTCTATGTCTGCCTTTTTTGCTCAAGGTCATTTGTAGTAATCCCACATGCTTCTTTGGTTTGTCTTACTTGGTGGCTGCGATCAGCGAGATGTTATTTGACGGAAGACGAAGTCCATTATCTTTCCATATCTGAGGTACTGGTTCCTAAAAATAGTTGGAGGTGGCGGATTGTAATCATTGTGGGGTGTCATAGCGGTGCTTTCGGCGACGACGTTGAAAGGAAGTAGATAGGGTTTGCTTTTTAAGTTTTCTCTATTTCTCTGTTTTGGGCCTAAAGGTTGCTCTAGGGGTCCATTCTTTTGATTGTGTAGATATTGTATTTGGGCCTCTATTTTGTAATTATGTTGTAACTTGCTAATAAAGTAACCTTTGACAATAAATAAATAAATAAACGAGAAAGAGTAAATAACGGGCTAGATTCGATTAATTAGGTGTACAAATGGAAAGGAAATTGTAAATTTTTGAGGAAAAGATACGATATGCATAATAGGCCTCGATAAAATCCTTGCCGGGGATTTCAACTCGGTTTAAAGAAAAAAGAACGTTCTGCACAAAAGAATACAAACGTCAATTATTCCCAAAATTACAATCAACTCAGCCACACTAGGCTTGATTATCCGCAAACAGAGTATAATTTTAAACACATTTAACACTCATTTTTACGTGAAGACAAAATCCACGTGGTAAACAATGAGTGAGGAAGGTAAACCAAATATCATTATGTGACTAATCACCAAATAACATGGTAGATAGGGGTGCACCCTAAACCCAAAACAACATCCAATTTGTCTCCTCTCACACACCTCTTTCTATTTTGATCCACCATAGTGAATTAATCAAATCAAAAACAACAAACAAAATCAAACCAAGTTGTGTAAAAAGAGAAAAATGATTAGTTATCATTCCGCATCTTTTTTTTCCCCCTAAAAAATATGTACACAAAATGAGTGAAGTAAAAGAATACATTTCGAAAATTTAATAATCGATGATTGGCTCGCCAATATTCAAATTTCTCTGTATTTTCCAAGGCAAGTTAAAAAGCTTGGCCAAGATAAATTTGAAGACCTTGTTCACATTGATGTTGTGGGTTGCACTTGAGAAGAAAAGGGTCGCCTTTATAGCCTTTGCATAAGCCCTGGCCTGCAAAAAAAATATACCTACCCTTTTATCTTAATATCGAAAAATCCTTCCATGTATGGATATGTAAAATAGGAAAGTGTTATTGGCATTCCAAAAATCTCATTCTACAATCCTCATAAGTGTATTTTTCTTTTCAAATATAGAAAGTTTGAGATATGGAATGAAATTTTTGATGTGTCAATAACAATTTCCGTAAAATATAGGATTCCAATCCTAACAAGAAAAGAAGGAAAATGGATACTCAATAAAGTGAGTAAACAGAATTCGATCTCGACGCGGAAAGAAAAGCATGACTTCGACAGATGTCGAGTCTCGGAAGTTACAGCAGAAGGCCCCCCAAGTCTTCGTTACTATTTATTATCCAAAGCATTCTTCTCCTTCACATGACACACTCCGAAAACTAAATTTTCAGCTACCGTAATCGTCAAGGCAATATCTAGGACTTGGGTTCCTTTCTTTGGGATACGGCCAATTGTGATGTTTTCTTTTTCGGTGAAATGATGTTTTATATAATTGGACTGAAATGAAGGATTCGAACTTGGACCTTTCCAAACGTTAGAAAGAGATACACTCATAAGCAGTTCAAAAAAAAAAAAAAAAAAAAATCTAGTCAAGATGATAAGTACTCTGTAAGCAGAACCAGAAATTTTAAAAGAAGTGGACCCCGACACCGAGACGTAATTGGGTGAGATCGGCTCATTTCTACTTGATGTGATGAAAATCGTAAATATTTACATCGGATCACAGTTCATCCTAATCCAAAGATGGCTCCGCCTCTAATCGCAGATTAGTAATTATTAAGGAAAATTAATGAAAAATGATTGAAAACTTTGAGTTTTAATGATAATGACAAAATAAAGGGTAAAGTGAATAGTACCATGATTGACTTTTTAGTGTAAAAATATGGTTTTTCGTTAAAGTGAACAGTACGTGACTTTTCATTAAAACTCTCTAATTATTAAGACTAACCTATTCACTATATCAGTTTTGTCTTTCCCTCTAGGCAGTATTAGTTTTAATCAAAATTTGCAGGAAATTTGTATACCTGGGTTACAATTGTCCATTGCAGGTCTGGGGGAAGTCTCACAAAATCATCAAATTTAGTCCCAATTAGTACGGGAATTGCTGTCTGCACGTTAACAAACACACAGTAGGAACTTGATTATTAATTACATAAATAAATATAATTATTGGCTAATTAACTATGGATGTCTCTAATTTTAATTACTCAATTATGATATGTAAAAGATAAACTGTATATAGTACCTGGTTCCATTTTCTTGCTTGACTGTACCATCCAATAACACTACAAGAACACAAAAAGCACCAGTTTCTATTAGTATTATTAACCATAGTGCTAATTGCTAAACAATTTGGGTTAAAATGTTACATATCAGCAGATTATGAGCTGACCTGTTTAGCGTGCGCCTACTAGTAAGATCAAACATGAACAAAATTGCTACTGCATCTTTACAGGCGATTGGAACATGATCTAACGAACTCTGGTTGCCTACAAAGAACGTTTAACAACAAATTAAATACATCATACCGTCAGACTGTTTGGTAATAGAACATTTTTCGCGTGTTTATGTGCATACCTCCCACATCCCACATGCTAAACGAAATCCGAGCGCCTTGAACAATCAATGTTTTATCCATTAAATTTACTCCTGCCATCTGCAGATAGCTATGTTCTTGCTCATGCCCAACATATTTGCTCTTCAAGAACAAAAAGAAAAAGGAGAAAAAATTAATATAATTCATCATTAGTAGCATAACACTCTACCCAAGAACCAAATTAACGAGTCGTTAAACCATAAATTACTTATATACTTTACCATAAAACTTGTCTTTCCAATCTGGCAATCACCCAGCAAACTGATCTTCAAGCTCACCAAATCCGCATCCGTCTCATAGACGTTAAGGCTACTACTTGTGGGGTTGTCCACCACCAAAGCACCCTCCAAAACTTCCGGTGGCGGCGAGAAAGCTCCGAGGGGCAATCTCTGGTACCTAACCGCCGGCTTCCCTATCGAACAAACAAGAAACCTGTCCCAGATGAATCTGAAAAACTCCCGGATAACCGGAACCCGGTCGACTATGCACCACCTAAAATTAACGTGAACAATTTTTCGACAAAGCTGTGTCATCTTTTGTGGTAATCTTCACGAATAACTGTGACCATGGAATTTGGAATTTGTCATGATTTTTTGTGTTTGGTGATTTGGTAGAAAGTATAAAACGTACGTGATGATCTTTTTGACAAACAAATACAAATGGTAGGAAGGTCGGAAGGCGACTGAGTAGCAGCCTACGGAGGGCGATGATGGACAGTTGACGGGTATTTTATCGTGGATTCTCAAAACAGTCCAAATTGCCGGCTTCTTGACGGGTTTTTGTTTGTGTTTTGGTAAATTTGGGTCTACGGTATAAAATATTGTGTGCGGTTGCGATGGGTGTTATAGTCATATCCGTGGGAAAGGACAAAGTGTTTTGGGTGGGGGAGATAAATTAAATTAAACGTTTTTATAATAGGAATAAAACTTCGTGGACATGCACACAGCACAAGTAAGCTTATTGTAATGTAGTCTGGATAAGAAAATGAACTCTTTTAAAGTGAGATTTTGGACTCTTTGTCGTATTTCAGTTTAACGTCAATTCTTGTGTTAATATTTTTATGCAAAAAATATGAGAGTTCCACTTTTGAGAGAGTCTATTTCGTACTTCTCAGATGAAGAACTCGACCTTTTAATATTAAATAATGTTTTGTGTGTAACTAGTCTTGGGTTTGAAGTTAGTACTCCACAAAAAGGACAATACTTTGCTTACGACATGATATTATTTTATTGTATAAACGTTATTATCAAAATCGTTATTTTTTATTCTTGATTAAAGATTATTTCTAAGAAAACTCATTCGATCATTTTTTTTATTATCTTCTAAACAAAAACTCGTTTAATTTGGTAATTATTTAGTCATTCATATATGTTGAAACAAATCGGATATTATGGCTATAAATAATATCTTCGTGACAAACGATTAATTTGTTTGATTGATGTGATGCAATTTAGCATGCTTATTGGAAACTCCAAAATTTTCCGTTCTCCCAAAAAATAAAAAACAAAAATGAGAAATCGAAAATGGAGTGCAAACATATGGTAAGCCGTTTCAATATATTCTTTGAAACTACTCTTTGGAGCATGTGTGTTTTCAAACAAGTGGTCAAGCATGTTACTACAAATTGTTAAGCGGCGGTGTTATTTACACACTTATTTTACTTTCCACACACTTCTTGTTAATTTTTATCATTTGAAATTCATTCGATCCGACGTTCAAAAATTAAAAAGAGAGTGTAAAAGGTAAAAAAAAGGTGGGTGGATAACACCACCTTTGTTAATTATTGATATTTTTAGTAAATTAGTAAAATACATTTACATACATCAATGACTAATAATCTGTCTGCATATAATTGTTAAAAACATTTGCATACAAGTCAAAACCTGACCCTCTTTTGAGAAGTATCTTAAACCTGACTTCAAATCGGAAGCCTTATTGCAACTTTTTTTTTTTTTTTTTTTTTTTTTTTATGCAAAGAATTTATAGCTTAATTCGTTAAGAGTAACGGTGCTGTACTGTAACATTTTCCTCCTTAAAGCTAATTAATTAATTAAATGATAGATCGTAACTTAGATGGCATGATTCCTTCCTGACATAAACAAAGAGAACTAGGCATCTGTGTTGTTTGGGTTTGTGGATCTATAGATCGATCAAAGGGAATTTCAGACTTTTCCGAATAAAGGAGAAAACTTTGAACCCCACCGCGATGACACAAACAAAACCCCACTTCAGCCCCCAACTCTTTGCTCATTCTTTTTTTTTTCACCATTAATTTTAAGAGAAATGCTAAGGAAACTTTCTTAAAAGTAGAACTTTTTATAGATTCTCCGTCATATAATGCTTTTTTGTACAATTTTCGTGCTAATAATATAAAATATTGTGCTAAAAGATGTCAGATAGTCTATAAAAAATTTTACTTTAAAAGTCTTCTTAGCATTTCTCTTAATTTCAAAATTAAAAAAAATAAATAAATAACTGCTTTTTCCATTTCAGTGGTGAAAGTAATAAAAATAAGTGTTTTTTTTTTTCTCATTCAGTGGTTGGTATAATGGTAGTGGTCCTTCTTCTTTACTCTTTCTTCATTTTTCTTTTAAATGAAATATTCTTTACTCTTTCGGCGAATGTATAATTTATATTTTTATGGGATAGCCTACGCTATCTTTTAATGAAAAAAAGTTATTGGTACTATTTAGTTTGAACGATAATTTTGTAACGAAATTAGGTTCGCACATAGCATTCTATATTGATAGTATAATGGTACGTTTACAATGTAAACACCAATTTTGTTCTAGTAATAACAATGTCATTATGTGTTATTTTTCTTTTAAAAAAAAAAAAAGAGATCAGTTGGTGGCTTCGCCACGATATTCTACCATTTCAAGGGCCAGAAAGGCTCACAGAGGCATTTCAGCCTCCACTTGACCACCATTGTGCAATTCTCCAGCGTCAGGAATCAAACTCAAGTCGTGTGAAATACGGGTCTGAAATTTGTTCCCAACCACATAGCCACCTCATGATGGGTGTCATTATGTGTTATTAAGGTTAATTATTAAATATAACCTTAATTACCACTATTATTGAATTGTAAACTTTGATGATTATAATGTAATATTTTCCTCTCTTGTAATCAAACTCAAGTCGTGTGAAATATGGGTCTGAAATTTGTTCCCAACCACATAGCCACCTCATGATGGGTGTCATTATGTGTTATTAAGGTTAATTATTAAATATAACCTTAATTACCACTATTATTGAATTGTAAACTTTGATGATTATAATGTAATATTTTCCTCTCTTGTAATTCACATGCTAAATAATGTTAATGTGTCATGTTGTACCGTTTTTCATATAATATTCATAAAATTATCCTTGATTACAAGTAATACTGTACACTGAGGAAATGATAAGGATTTGAACTAGAAACACAATAAATTAAAGGAAAAAAGCCCTAAACTAACAACGCAAATTATCACTTGCATTATTCATCAAATTATCATTTGAACTTCTAAACTTCAGAACACCATCTCCATGTCAGAGCAAAAAATTTGAGAGAGGTGTTGGAGGTATGCTTAACAAATTGTGGTAGGTCGATAAAACTTTCGGAATATAAATCATGATATTTCCGTTGTTATATCAATCATGATGATCTGTTGGACTAAAACGATTACTGACAACAAGGGATATCAGCTTTCTGGAATAAAATCATTGTGCAAATGTTGTTTACAATTCAACATCGTATTCAACAAACTGGATATGATAAGATCTAACACCACCAAACCAAACACAGGAAAATATAAAGAGGAAAAAGCAAAACTAGAAAAGAAGTAATGATTAGGTACACTCGAATTTCCGTGCCATGCTCGAGCAACACACGTGGTGGCACATTACAAGAGAATGAAAAGATGAGCTGAACGATGGTGCTTATTCTTTAAATTGAATTTTCAAAATAATTTTTTAAATTGAGTCATTGGTTTATGGGGAATCTGGATTCTCTTTGTGAGGATCCTAGAAATTTGTGAATCATATCCGTTTATCGTATATCGTATGGTCAGAAATTATTTTAAATATTTTTATTTAAAATTAAATACAAACAGTACCTAACAAAACTGATCGCACTATATACGATGAACAGACACAATTTACAGATCCTCACCAAAAAAATCTGGAGATGATCCTGTTGGGTTTATGGGACCCAAATAACAGTGGTTTCTACTACTACACATCAACACGTGTTCTAGAAAAGAAAAATCATTTGAAAATTCTTACTGTAACGTCTCTTTCACTTGTGATTAGTGGAAAGTAAGGGTGTTTGTGATTGTAGGGAATAATAATAAAAAAAAAAACAATACCATTCACTTGTGATTGTAGAAAGAGGAAATTACCCTTGCAACAAAGAAGAAGAATCAGCTCGCAAAAAAGGAGAAAAGACATCACTACTACGAAAAGTATTATCTGTCAGATAAAATCGATAGAAAATATATTAATAATAAAAAAATATAAACCACCTTTTGAACCATTTCTTTCCCTTTCAAGTTGGCCTCCCTACATTCATTGCATTTTCCAGCGAACAAATCTCAAGTATTCGTGCAACAAAACAACCAGTGAACGAATCCGTGAGAACCCTACGCAAACTACCCCCAAACTTTATCATTCTTGCAAATCAACAGATCTTTGACATGCAAAACCAACACAGTCAACTGAGGGCATGAATCTTTAATTTGGATTTTGATCTGTGTTTTGTCTCTCTTGTGTAATGTTGTATCCAAGCTTTGGAGTCCGCTCTTATGCATACATCAGAACATAGATGAGTGTAAAAATTACAGCACAAAAAAACTTTTAAAATAACGTCAAAAGAGAAGTTTGGGGGTGATTGCGTTTTTACCTAAAGATGGGGGAGTCTTGGACGATCCACCATGGATCTGGAACTTTTGGGCGTTGGTGCGCCTCCCTTGTTGTAGATCCGTGTACTCTCACAAAAAAGAAAAAAAAATGTTACATGGATGTGTTAGTTCTTTGATTTTTCCATGACAATAAACTCAATGGAACTCTATGGCAGCAAAATGAGATTTTTACCTTTGACTTAGGGGTTTCGCTACTAAGATCCAGTGCAGATGATGGCTTCCATGAACCGGACCAAGAATCATGGCAGCATGGATTACAATTTCAAATCGAGAGAAATGGAGGCGAAGGGTTTGTGTTGAACAACAATGAAGACTAGATTTTGTGTCGAGAGTTATGAAGACATTTCTCATAGTTGATAGAGGAGTGGCTATGGCTTCTACCTAAGGTTTGTGTTGATTTGAGAAAGGGCTGAGAGAAATGAGAAGACCTCTTTCGGTTTCTAGAGAGAGAATGACCTAGGGTTTCTAATTACACTAAGAAATGAAAGCAATGAGAGAAACCTATGGCTTTTCATTTGGAATCCCAGGGAGATCCTTTTCCTGATGCACGACATGTGTGGACATTCGCAGAAGGAAAGAGCCATGTGGGCTCTAGGCTCGAGGTCATCGAAAGCTAAAATGAGAATGGGAGTAGCTGCTAGGGTTTTGCTTTGTTCGTGTCGATTATAACCGCCAGAATACTAAAATAATAACCGCCATAAAGTAAAATAATAAAATATATAATTTCTATCTGTTATAACCGCCACCATTAACTTAAAAACTGCCGGAATATGTTAAAAATATTTATAAAAAAAAAAAGAATTCAAAAATACTTGCGGTTATAATAATTTTATGGCGGTTGCATCCGACACTAAATATCCGCCAGGAATTTACGTCGGATATAACCGACAGGATTTCATTGCTATCTGACACTAACTGTATGATGTGTCGGATATATTTTATCCGACATAATGGCTTACTAAACCGCCACCATCATCCAACACCTAAAGCTAATATTGTAGTAGTGCATCAAAAGAGAACAATGCTTGGCTCCACAAACTATAAAGCAATTCTCCCTCAAAATACTTTTTTGTTGATTCACATAATTTCACGTTTATGATCAAAATTAGAGGTAGGCACGGTCCGGTTCGGCCCGATTCCACGAACCTAAAATCGAAATCGGAACCTGAAAATATTAACAGTTCATTTCAATGCAATTTCGCAAAAATTTATTATTATGAAAATTGTACGATTTAGTTCACGTCGGTTCCGATTCGATTCATGCTGGCTTACGGTTTTATCCAAAATTATATATATTTTTTCGAATCTTCTACTTCCAATAGCAAACGCATATTTCAACTACAAATTCAAGCAAATTTAGCTCCCGTTACTAGATCTACAAGATTGTTACTGAAAAATAGAAAGTGTACATATAAATATATATCAAAAGATAGAAAGCCTCAGAGTAAGACCGAAGTGTACATCCTACACTAAATCTAAAGTTTACATAATGCATAATCTATATATGAAACATTCATAACCCCAAAATTGCCCTCTCCCATTATATAGTAATTATAATATAGGGTAAATATCAGTTTACTACCCTTATGTTTTGTGGTTTTCAACATTTAATATATCATGTTTTTTTTTGTCCCAGAGTCATACCTAAAGTGTTAATTTTGGGACAGTCTCATACATCCGTTAGTCAAACTGTTACGTCTATCGTTAACTGATGATGTGGCGCCGATGTGGACAATGACTGGACGCCATGTGTCATTAAAAGTATTAAAATATTAAAATAATTAATTAAAAAACTATAGATATATAAAAATAAAATAAAAAAGAACAAGAAAAAAAACCCAGAACCCCCTTCTCTGCAAATCAAAACAACAAAATATTCCGATCAAAACATCCCCAAAACCCAATCTTTCAATTCAATCCCCCATTCTTAAACCCTAAAGTTCACTTCTTTCAGATCAAAAGGAAAACCCCAATTTAATTAGTTTCAAAGTTTCATAAAATTCAAACTGAAAGACGATGTTGAACTCAAACCACCACAACCCCCGTCTCCCTCACTCGCCCTTCGTCTTCCCCACCCGACGTCTCTCCATGCCTTCCACCCCTCCATCCCTGTGAAATCCTCATAACCACCATTGTGAACCCCTCACTCCACCATCCTCAATTTGAGAAAAATATAAAGGTCTTATCTTCTTCGTGGGTTTCTTCCAGGCAATGGATGATATGCGGTAGTTTCAAAGAAATGCCTCCGGCTAGTTTTCACCACCAACGTCTCTCGGGTTGAGTGGGGATGACAGTTTGGGTCCCTCGATTCCACTGGTGGTAGCCGCGTTTCGAGTAGACGAAAGGAACCCCGTCAATCATGCATGGCAGTAACCTCGACCTAGGTCAGATGACAGTGGCTCGCCTTGATTGCAGATCCAAGGCTCCGTTGGACTATATAGACTGGGAATTTAAGGAATGGACGCTCATACATCTCTGATTTTATGAAAAAGATAGAGACTCAAAGATGGTTGTGACTTGTGAGATCTAAGATAGAGGTGTTTCGTTGGATTAACGAATGTATGAGACTGTTCCAAAATTAAAACTTTAGGTATGACTCAGGGACAAAAAAAACTTGATTTACTAAATGTTGAAAACCACGAAATATGAGAGTAGTAAACTGATATTTACCCTATAATATAAATGATTTTAATTATAAAGATAACGTTTCGTAAATGAACCACAAAATGTTTTGACTTTTGAGGAAGAATTCCTTCCCAAATTTTGTGGAGCTTATTATGCAACAGGCCAGAGAATGAAGAAGCTCGTCTTCGAAGCCATGTTTGATGTTTGGCCCAAAGAACCAGACCCAATATCCCATCCCAGATACATTTAAACCCACTCCAATTTAAGAGAAATTTAAATAAAAATTGAATAATAATAATAAAGAACAAGAAGAGGAAGTTGCCACTGCAATCCTTCAACCTACCTCCTTCACCGTGGCCCGCGGCCTGAGCTCCCCTTTAAAGGTATTCAGAGAAATTGGTGTTCAGAGATTGAGGTCCAAATCCTTACAGAATGACTACAAAAATTCAGCTCCCATTGCATACAAACTATTTGCTTAAATGCCTGTAAGTATGATATATATTTTCAATCATAATTTCTCCAACAATGATAATCTGCAGTGACTCAATGGATTCGAACGCAGAAGCTCTGGAGGAGAAGTTGGCATCTTTGCTTGGTCAGCTCCAAGCAGAGGCTGCCATTCTAGAAAGAATGGCGTACAAAAGCAAGAACCAGCACAGGCGCGGCTCCTACTTCCAGCACCTTACGAAGGTTTACGGTTTTCCCACCTTGTGTATGATCATAATGCTTTTGCCTATTTGTTTGGTTCCTCAGAAAATTCATGAAAGAGAAGGAAAATTAAGTATACTTTAACTTGTATCATGATTTGATTGCAGTGAATGGTTTAACTGACTAATTTGAATGGCGGGTTTTTGTTGCATAATCTTTTTTTATGGGTTTCAAATTTTGAAGTTAGCTGTTTTTGCAGTTGTAAGCTTCTTACTTTTTTGTTTGATTGCCTTGAAAATTAATGGAAGAAGAAGAAAAGTTTCGGTATTGCATTAATGGGGGTGAAGTTTTAGTCTGCCTAGCTTAATGGGGTTGAAGTTTTAAAATTTGATCATCTATTATGTGTTTTACTTTGCTGTTTTGTATGCGTTTACGTAGTTTGCCTCACTTTTGTTTATGTCAGGTAAGGAGGGACTTGAGGCTTTTACAATCAACTAAACTGGAGGAACTTTTTGGTTGCTGTTTTCAAAGTATTACTGGGAACAGACCTAAGCAAAAGTTGCATCTATTACAAAGGTAAAACATGAAATTTCAATTTGCATCCTATGTTGCATTTTTTTGGGGGGAGGTAGAGCAGAGTCAACATTTCATCAGTTGTGCTTATGCATCTGTCGTTGAGCGATACGAATACATCTCATGTTTCCGAACACATCTTCCAGTATGATGTAATTCTAGCTGTACGAGTAACTAATTTTCTCCTAAGGTTCATTCAGGTTCAACCGTTTAAGTGTTTGAAAAGTCTACATGAAGTCCTAGCAAACTTTGTTGAACTGAGTTTTACAATTATCTACTTGGTTTATATCCAAGGATTAAAGTCGTTCATAGTAGCTTTGTCTAAGTTTTGTTTTCTCCTCGACGAAAAGTTTGTTCTTCGTTTAGACCTTGGTTTCCTGTAGTTTAATGTGATTATGGAAATACAATTTACTTGTTGAGTCTTCTTAAACTTTGGTTTGTGCCAGATGATGAATCTATTCGCGAAACGGCAGATGCAAACCGCAGCGCTGAAAAAGGTCCAGTCGAGGTCAAGGAGGATAAGATCAATTTGATGTCAGGTCTGTCCAATGACGGTGATAACAGGCAGCTGGTTGAGCATTGCGAAGATGGTTCAACCGTTGGAGAGACTCCGAGCATGAAGTTTTCCGAAGAAGGTTGCTTGCAAACAGGCACGAGCTCGTCTTCAGTTCCGATGCATCAAAACTGAAGTCTGGACCGGTTAAAGTGGCATTTATACAAGTCAAAACACCTTCACAGTCGAATACAACTGAAATCCCTTCTAAATAAACTGACATCAATAGCAATACCAAGGAAGATACATCATTCAGTTTGCTTTCTAGTGGAAATGTAGAGAGTAGTCTCATAGATCATGAGTGAAATCATGATTACCCTAATTAAACAGAATTATTAAGAACCTATTCTATTAGGTTTACAATGCAACACGGTCATTTTATCTCCTCTTTGCCCCAATAATATTGTCGTACGTCTTTAACAAGGGTCTCTCTCTCGACATTTTCCTTTGTGTCTATGGGTACGTAAGACAACCGTGGTGTTTTTTATTTATTTAACAAAGGATAGAGTATCTACATTAATCTACGGAGAGGAGATGTCGAAAACGGGATATCAAATACAAAAATAAATGTTCTTAACTAACTGAATACAAGGTACTTACTGACAATTATGATGTCTTGACTCTTTTAAGTCGGAGTAAAAAGTTGGACAATTGGAAAATGTGTTAAACGTGGTTCACTGAAATCTGATTTTTGTTTTATATAGCCGACAAAATTGAACAAAAATGCTAAGGACTTTGGTCATGTGGAAGTCTTGAATAGTTGCAGGGCTTTCTCATCCACACATTGTGCCCAAAGTCGATATTTTTCTTTCTTCACTTCAATGGCTCCACTTCATTCAACAAATAAAATCCAATCATATCCACGTTAGCTAATTTTTGGTCGAAGCGAGTACAATAATGCGAGCAACTTTGAATCCAACTGTCAGTACTCTATATTTTACTCCCAACTCCCAAGCACATGGTGACTTTGATCTTACTCGTTAAATCAAACTGACCTGCTCAACATATATAAGAACGCCTCATCACAAGTAAAATGATTAGAAATTTTAACATTCAAATTGATCAGACGCTCTTATAGACTTATTATATCACTCTTATAAGTTTATAACTTTTTTTTAGATTAGTTAGTCCAGCACTCAGATATTGTAGAATCATTATAAAAGCCATTTTTCATTTAATTTTCTAAATTTCTTTTTCTTCTTTCTCTTTTGATTTTGATTTTTATAAACAAATGCAGTACATATTGTGCTCAGTTTCCTTAAAAGGACGAGACTTGCATGACAAGGTCTTGGTTGAGGTTTGTTTTGGATTATTTGGGGGGCCTAACGGTTTCACTCAAGACATCAAGACGGTGACGTTTAGATGGGATTATAGGAGGGAGGGGAGATTTTACTAGTGGAGTACTCTTGAAGCCTTTGAGAGTAAAAGCATAGAAATGGTACTTGTGCTTCAATGCTCTCTTCTTCTTCTTCCTCCTCCTCCTCCTCCTCGAAATGTCTCTCCCTGCAGGTACAAAAATCTCACTCACTTCCGCTTCCCAGTCTATCATCTTATTATTATGGGGCCTTTTTTTGCTTTATTTGCTTACATTTTCCCATTTGTTTTGTATTTTTGCTCATAATCTTGCTGTAATTACTCATAAATGGTTTGTTTTTGCATGTGGTGGATTGCCCTGAGGTTAGGGCCTTCCACTGCATCCTGGTTCAAACCCTCTCCATCCTCCTGTTAGAGTAGAAATATCGCTTGTAATAAAATAAAAAAAGATGGTTTGGTTTTCTTGGATTTTTTGTGTTTCTAATTGTTGTGCTCAAAATGCAGTGGAAAGTAATGTAAAATTGAGTAATTGCAAATGCATATATGCCTCTATGTTCTTGGATTTCATAAGAAACTATACCAATTACATACGGTTTTTTATTTTCAATTTCAACCACATTTTCCAAGCTAGTGTTGTTGTTTTTCTGGTCTTTGCTGGATGCAAAGAGTGACATTTTTGTTCTCCTGATTTACAGGGGAATGCCTGGTAAAATCATGATGAATTGCTGTTTGGAGCAATCGATCAGCGGCAGCAAGCAACTGTCCCGTCATGTTTTATCCGGGTTTGCCGCAACATTAGTGTTTATCTCTCAAATAAATCAGGTTAGCAGATTTAGTCTTTTGTATTGTTATAGGATGCTGGAATTGAATACTAGCAGAAGATTTATATTGCTAGTTGCTAAACTGACTCATCAGATTACATAAAAGAACATAGATTTTGGACCAATCATTTCCTTGCTCGACGTTGTCTAAGCTAATGGACAGAAGTTAAACCCTTTAGATCAATATTTGTTCGAGTTCTTTCATATATCGGGATTGTCAGAGCATTTCTGGCTGAGATGTTTGAGCTTGGTGTTCTTGATGTTGTATATGAGACCTCGTTAAACACTGAGTTTTCAGTTTCACTTCCTTTAGTGCTTCACTCTATATAACCGGTTTAAATAAGATTAGGATTTCGAATAGACTTAGCCGGACTTTTATGTGTTTGAAAGTTTAATAGGGAATTTAGTCCGAAACTAGGTTGCCTTGTGGTTGTAATAACAAAAAAAGATTTAGGTACTCTTATGTTATTGCAGCAGGTAGAGGATACATGATGCCCTTTACTGCTTTTGGGCAGGCGGTTGCATCAGATGTTTCCCATCAAAGAAATATATATGAGTCTGCAAATGCTACGGAGGAGACAGTTACTCTTCCGCTTGATAAGGGATCCGATGAAGGAGATGAGAGGCTAATGATGATGAGAGGCATGACAGCAAATAACTTTGACCCTGTTAGATATTCTGGAAGGTGGTTTGAAGTTGCTTCGCTTAAACGTGGATTTGCTGGGCAAGGTCAGGAAGACTGCCACTGCACCCAGGTAAACACAAAGGGTACGTGTAGTTGTAAAAAACTGCGACGTTTAGTTTGACTCTTGGTTCGGGAAATAGTGTAGATTTGAGAGGAAAATATATTCTCCCCTTTCTGTTGTATTTGACAAGAGTGCAGATCTGAACTGTTGAACCTACTCATCAATCGTTGTTTAGCTACCTAGTTGTTTATCAATAGCCCTTCCAAGTAGCAGGTGGTCGAAATCATCCTGAAAGCAAGATCAGCTTTCTTGTGATGATTTGCTTCTCATTGCTTATGGATAACAGGCTCTTTCTGTCACACTGTTCACCACCTATTTTCTGACTGCAAAACCATATATCACCTTATTAAATTGCAGGGTGTGTATACATTTGACTTGGCGAAACGGGCCATCCAGGTTGATACCTTCTGTGTTCACGGGAGCCCTGATGGATATATCACTGGAATACGGGGAAATGTTCAATGCCTTTCGGACCAAGATTTGGAGAAAAAAGAAACAGATCTAGAAAAGCAGGAGATGATCAAAGAGAAGTGTTTCCTCCGTTTTCCATCATTGCCATTCATCCCTAAGCTGCCATATGATGTGATTGCAACTGATTATGACAATTACGCTCTAGTTTCGGGAGCGAAGGACACTGGTTTTATACAGGTACTCACTCATAAACTGCCTTTTAATTCATAGGAATGTTAGATAGAAGTATTCGTGTTTACTACTTTGAACATTTTATACTCTTGTTTGACGTTGCGCGAGTTTTTACTCGCATCCCTACAATTTGAGGACGCATAATATTACGTGGGAATCGATCTGTGGCATTAATATTACAGATTTACTCGAGAACGCCTAATCCCGGTCCTGAGTTCATAGAGAAGTACAAATCTTACTTGGCCAACTTCGGATACAACCCAAGCAAAATCACGGACACACCACAAGACTGTGAGCAAATGACGGACACGCGGTTATCTGCAATGATGTCAATGCCCGGGATGCAACAGGCCTTAACAAATGAATTTCCTGATCTCGAACTGAAGAAATCTGTTCAATTTGACCCCTTTACGAGCGTATTCGACACTCTGAAGAAGCTTGTTCAGCTCTATTTTAAATAGTCCTGAGCTGGTTAGTTTTTGCTCTTCTTGTTGGTTATGTTCTTACTAATCTGTCAAAAGAGAGATTTAAGTTGATGTGCACGTTTTGTTACTTTGATGTAAATCTACATGAACTATGACTATGATTATTCGTTTATGCCTTTCATGATTCTTCTTTGTGATCTTAATGCCTACCATAAACCTGTCATTGTGCATATTGGAAACAGTATGGGGAATTTTAATACTGGTCTAATGTTTTTAGTCACTTAGTACTGTGATCTAGAGAAATTCTTCTTTATTTGTAAGCGAGATATCTAAGATTCGAATCTTGTAAATGCCGAATTCGAAAATAATTTATTCCCCACCCTTTAGTGTAGGGTATATTCCATTCATTCGAAAACTGTTATTTTCGTGCAGGTTAACAGATCGTGCAAGAAATTATCAGATTAGAAATCATTGTAAATTTTTTTATTTAAAATTAAATATAAACATTATCGGATGAAAACTGATCGTACAATATACGATGAACGAATGTGATTGAAGCATTCTCCGCCAAAAATCCCCTCTCTTGATCAAATATGTTGATGCGCAACCCATCCGCATATTTAATTAAATCTCAACACTCTATTTTTTTTTAAATGAAAATGAACGGCCGACATTTGATCAAATACGTTGATGCGCAACGCATCCGCATGTAAGCCATGGGAAGGGGGGACAACCTCGGAATGGGCATTAGGGGTGGGAATTTTGCCCAATCCTAATTGGAATGGGTTAAATTAAGGCCCTCGGGTCAAAATAAAGCCCACACTAAAAACCCACGCAAACTTAAACGTGGCCGGTAGCAGCGGCCTTCCGAAAATTCTTCCCCTCAGCAAAATCCAAAACCAAACCATGAAACTCTCCTTCTCCCTCCCTCCCAAATCCTCCTCCAAATCAAACCCTAAACGCAACCCCTCCTCCGCCACCGCCACCGCCACCTTCAACGACGGCACCGGCAACCACCCTAACGACGCCGTTTCCAAACACTTCGTTAGCGAATTCGACGCCTCGAAGCCTCTCTCCGCCGATCCTAAAGCCCGCGTGATCGCTCCGATCCCCAACGAATGGCGGCCCCACAAGAAGATGAAGAACATCGAGCTCCCCATCACCGAGTCCGGCGGCCACGAGCTCCAGTTCGAGGTCGAGACGCTCTCCGTCACCGACGACCCCGACGCCAAGATTTCGTACGGTCTCAATCTCCGGGAGAAATCGGAATTGGAGAATCGGGAGGGGTTGGGGAATGGTGAGCGGCCGAGATTGAGAGGCGTTGAGGATACTCTGCTGCAGAAGTTTAAAGACGATTTGGAGCGCTTGTCGGATCATAGGGGATTGGAGGAGTTTGAAGAGATGCCGGTGGAGGGTTACGGCGAGGCGTTGCTAACCGGGTACGGGTGGTACCCGGGTAGAGGAATTGGGAAGAATGCGAAGGAAGATGTGAAGATTGTGGAGTATACTAGGAGTACTGATAGGCACGGGTTAGGGTTTCTTGCGAATTCGAAAGAGAAGGATAGAAAGAATTCAAAAGAACAAGAGAAAGAGAAGAGGAAAGATGGGGATGTGGGGAAGGAAGTGAGGATCGTTTCAGGTCGAGACTATGTAGGTTTGAGAGGTAGGATTGTGGAGAAATTGGGCAATGGGAAACTGGTTTTGAAGCTGTTGAGTAAGAGCAAACAGCAAGATGAAGAGGTTGTAAAAGTGAATGCGGATGAAGTTGCGGAATTGGGTTCAAAAGAAGAGGACAAGTGCTTGAGGAGATTGAATGAGACACAAAGGAAAGTAGGTAGTGATAGCAGGCGGAGACGAGAAGAGCGAAGGGCTCATTCGACGTGGCTTGCGAGGAACATTCGGGTCAGGGTTATTAGCAAGGCCCTGAAAGGTGGGAAATTGTATTCGAGAAAAGGGGAGGTGATGGATGTTGTTGGACCCTACACTTGCGATATATCTATGGATGGAAGTAGGGAGCTTGTGCAGGGGGTTTCTCAGGATTTTCTTGAGACAGCCCTGCCAAGGTGCGGCGGACCGGTTCTTGTGTTATCTGGAAGCATAAGGGGGTCTATGGTAGTCTTGTGGAGAAGGATTCTGACAGAGAGACCGGTGTTGTCAAGGATTCTGATACCCATGCCTTGCTCAATGTGGGTCTTGAGCAGATTGCCGAGTTTACTGGTGATCCCAACGACCTTGGATATTGATTCATAGGTACTTTGAATCACAATTGTATTCTCTGTATACTGTGTTTGTAAGCTGACATTCCTATCAACTAAATTTGATATCTTCGTTTGCCATGCCATGCTGCTTCTACTTGGGAGTCTATTGGCTCCTCATTATTTCCGTGTATGAAATTTCCAGTGTTGTGAATTTAATTATTTCGTTCAGATGAATATTTCTTGATTAAGTGTTGGCTGTTAAATCTTAATTGTGCGAATTCCACCACCATGGTCTTCATTGTATGATGAGCCTTTGTGTATCCATTACAATGTTGCTACTGCTAGTCTGGTACTCAGTGGGTTAACAAGTCCAATTCTTGCCTTGTGTGATGGTCCAAAAGCCATTGCCTTACCGGTTGGTCGTGATTATGCTGCAAAGAGAGTGATTATTAGGTAAATTATACAAAACTACTTCAATTATGGATCGCACTGTGATCTTATATCTCATGCTTTAAACATTACAAAACGTGACAAATGCAGTATCAATATTTTTTATTTTTTATTTTTCTTGTTCATTTCACGTGAAAGCCACGTAATTAAAAAATAAATAAAGCAATTTAAAAGTAAAAATTTGTATGCCATAAAAATTAAATAAAAAGTGAGTGGGGCCCACCCCAACCAAACCATCCATCCTCCTCACCCTTCTTCCCCTCCATCTGCCACCCCCTCCTCTTCATTTCTTACCACCAAAAACATAGCCTCGCGCTTTCTCTTTTCGGAAGCAGAAGATAGAAGTTCCGCACAGGTACTTATGGAAATGACGTTCAATTTGTACGAAAATTAGGTATTCATGTTTATTTGTAGGAAGAAGAATGTGCTAGTCACTTCTATTTGGACCTATGCTTGCATTTACAAAGACTAGTCTCGCCTGATGTTTTATATGGAATTTTTGGGTGTAAGGATTTTGATTGATGACGAGCAACTATTTCAACCAATTCCACATGCGTAAGTAGAGTCTGGTTTCTAATCTCTGGAGTAAGGGTTTTGAAGTTTGCAAGATGTAGGTTGCATTAGATTATGGTGCTTCTTTAACTACAACATGGATGGGTTTTCTTAGCTTTTACAGAGTTACCGTAATATACAAGGGATATTTTTTGATTATACATGTCGTAGTTAACCCACGGAGCTGGTTTCTTTTGGTGTACATATTGTGTGGGTTATTACTTTATATTGAGCCACATTCGTGACAAACCAAAAAGTGAAATGATTGTCTTTTTGAAAACATCGCATAACAATAATTACACTACTATTTTCAAATCTTCCTCACTTTTAGTTAAAGCACGTGTACATTCATTCTCAACTCTTAATCCCTATATCACCAACTCGTCAAAAAGTACAATGAAACGACAATTAAAGCAAATCATCCTTGCCCAAATCATCAAAAACCCTAAACGCCAACTCTTAAACCCTCTACTGGGACATCTCACAAACTCCCCCGCCCCACAAACTGCCCTTTTCCTCTACAACCAAATGCTCCACTACCCAACCTCCCACAACCACTACACCTTCACTTACGCTCTCAAGGCATGTTGCTTCCTCCATGATGACAACAAGGGCCGGGAAGCCCACGCCCGCGTCGTAAAAACCGGGCACTTTTCCGATACCTTCATCCAAAACTCGTTGCCACTTCTACGTAACTCTAGCTGACATTGTATCTGCTACCCGGGTTTTCGATTCCATACCAAACCCTGATGTTGTTTCGTGGACTTCGATGATTTCGGGTCTTAACGAGTGTGTATTTGTAGAGGAAGCAATTGTTAAGTTTATGTCCATGGATGTGCAGCCTAATTCTACTACTCTTGTCATTGTTATGTCCTCTTGTTCGAGTTTAGGAGCTTTAAAGTTTGGTAAATCTGTTCATGGATATTGTATGAGGAAGTTATCTGTAAGGAATGTTATTTTGGAGAATGCAGTGTTGGATTTTTACATGAGATGTGGGTCTTTGGTGAGTGCACGGTACCTGTTTGTAAATATGCCCAAGAGAGATGTGTTTTCTTGGACTAGCATGGTGGGTGGTTATGCACAAAGAGGATTTTGTAGTGAGGCAGTGAGGCTTTTTCAGGAGATGGTTCAGGGAGAGGAAGTTGAGCCTAATGAGGCTACCATTGTAAATGTCTGGTCAGCGTGTTCTTCGATTGGGGCATTGAGTTTAGGCCAGCGGGTGAATTCGTACAGAAGTGCGCGGCCACATCTCTTGTTGAATGGCATTGTGGGAAATGCATTAATAAACATGTATGTAAAGTGTGGTGGAGTAGGTATGGCAGTTTCAGTTTTTAAAACCCTGGTTTGTAAGGATAACATTTCATGGAGTACCATCATAAGCGGCATGGCCATGAATGGTTATGGTATACACGCGTTGCAGCTCTTTTCGCTCATCCTAGTCCATGGGATTCTTCCTGATGAAGTAACCTTCCTTGGCTTGTTATCAGCATGCAGTCACGCAGGTCTAGTCGATCAAGGGTTGATGTTTTTCAATGCTATGAAAAATGTTTATCGGATTGCCCCTCAAACACAGCTTTACGCCTGCCTTGTTGATATGTATGGTCAAGCGGGGTTCTTGGAGGAAGCAGAGAGTTTCATGAAGGAAATGGCAACAGAAGCAGACGGCACTGTTTGGGGAGCGTTGCTTAACGCATGCAAAATTCATGGGAATGAGAAGATGTTTGAGAGGATCAGAAATGGTCTCCTCAAGAGTAGAGGAGTAAGCATCGAAACTTATGCTCTTGTATCGAATACATACGCTACTCACGAACGGTGGGATGAGGCTAATAAGGTTCGTGATAAAATGAGACAGATGGGGTTGAAGAAATTAGCAGCATATAGTCAAATAGATGTTGATCCAAATATCTTATAATCTCAGTACATGGTTGATGTACCTTGTACAGTAGAAATTATTCAAACAGTGACGTTCTTTTAGATTGAGCAACAAATCTACTCTCTCTCAAACACTTCAAAACTTTATACTCCGATTATTAGACAATACGATATTTTCATTTTCATTTTGTTATAATAAGAATAATAATGCTTGATAAATATGTTTGTCTATTTACTGCAGAACGATTAAGGCCAATCGCGATTTTTTTCCGCTTGTCGCTTTTTTTTCACACAATGATATTTGGACATCTATGATAGTCACAAACACGATTAGTTCATGGTTTTTGCAGCTCTATTGTAATAAACTAGTCAATCAAATAATTTGCAAAGAAGTAATATTTGTGCGAAATAATAAAAAGTTAGGTGCTTGTTGAGGTTTAAACAATTTATGGCAATTTGTAAGTTGCTTTTATCATACCCAATAAACACCAAATTTAGAAAATCTCATATTTAATACCTCATATTAGTAAATACGTTGCTAAAGTTGAGAAAGCTGAAAACTTCGCCATTAACGTATTTACTAAAATGAGTTTACTAAGAGGGTGTGATATAATATTTGTGCTAAAATGAGTTTACCAAGAAAGGGGTGCTCATTTACTTAATCTATTGTACTCCAAAAATTCTTCGCTTCTTAACAAATTTAATCTCTTACGTCACATTTTTATTTTGATATAGTAGGAATAATAATGCTTGAGAAATACGTTTGTCCATGTACTGCAGAACAATTAAAGCTAGTCGCGTTCTTTTTCCTGCTTGTCATATCTTTTTCACGCAATGATAGTCACTAACACGACATGCAAGTTCAGTTCACGGTTTTCACAATTCTATTGTAATAAACCTAGTCAGTGAATTAATTTGCAAACAAGTAATATTTGTGCGAAATAATAAATAGATATGTGATTGTTGAGATTAATTAAACAATTTATGGGAACTTGTAAGTTGTGTTTATGGTACCAATATAATACCAAATAGAAACTCTCATATTTAATACCTCACATCAATAAATACGTTACTGAAGTATAAATACCAAATTAGAAACTCTCGGAAAAATGACAACATCAATAAATACGTTGCTGAAGTAGTTTTAAAGGAAATGCGTTTTTCATTTTACGAATGACTCGTACCTTTGCCTCATCCCTTATAAGTGTAGAACTCCTTGCGTCGAAGTTCAACTACATCTAAGGGATCAGTTTTCTAAGAAAATCAAAAGTTACTCATTCTTTCCACCATTATGCACGGGCTAAAAATGTTTCCAATTGTGGTCATTTTTCTTTTGGCGAATTGCGCACTTCCAACATTGGCGCATTTGGATGACTCACCGGCCGTGGTTGAGTGCAAAAAACATTTCAGCATAAAGTATGCATTTGACGTGTACAACTATATTTTCAAAGGGAAGAAAATTGGTGACTTTAGTTGCCGGGCCCTTGTGGCATTGGGAAGACTGTGCCATAATATTTTCGTGAACAACACCTTTACTTATGAACACACTGGGAATAGAACTACCATTCAAGCTAGGGCTGACCGAGTATTTAATCATTGTATAATTGCAACTTCCGTCCCACCTCCTTCTTCACTATCTTAAATAGAGAATTGAACTTCTCTAGAGCGAACAAATTTGTGGGATGTTTCATGAGTTAGAATAAAATTTCGATGTATTTGCTTTGATGTGTTGTTATGACTTCACTTTGTTGCTTTGAGTTGTAAAGCATTTTCTAAATGATTGAGGAATGAACAATAGTAATAAAACAACTACCATGCCAATTTAAAAAACTTCGTGATGCATCGTAAGTAATAGAGTGTCATGCCCGAACCCGGGGTCGGTAATAAAAACTCACACCTGAATCCGAAACATGAGTTAAAAGCTCAATAAATAAAAGGAAATTGGCACGGGTTGGAAAATAAATTCTTTTTATAAAAATAATTCATGATTCTTAAATAAATCAAGAATTCTTTACAACCTACAGTAAATAGATAAATAAACTTTCTTTACTCCAATCTAATCTGATATCATCCTACCTACCCTTTTAAATGTTTAATTTGTAAACCTGCATAATAGAAGAGGGATGAGCTTCAACAGCTCAGTAGGGGCATAACCTTATCACAGTAAATTGACAATATTAAATTAAGTGTCATGAAATCATATAGCCAAATATCAAATCATTATTGATAATAATGCATGTATGCAATCCAACCTCTTCAGCTGCACCCGTTGATTTCTATAATAAAACACGCGGACTTGCACGTTCCATACCATACATTTTACCATTGCAGTGGTGGTTTAGATGTTCTATTATAGAAACTAACCCCCACACGA